GGGGTAGGAAAGAGTTTTTATTTGAGTAACAGATCCCAACTTACATACTCAGGAGGCTGATCTAATGAATGCCATGCAATGCCGGAGATGTATTCCCGCGCCTCCCCCCCGAAAAGACGACGACAATCGATGGAAGCTCAAGTCTGCGCTGGAGAACAGTACGTAACCAAGTTAGATGTTGTAGGCTGGAACTGAGATCCGTTCGGCACGCAAGACCAAAAAGGGAGATGCGCGCCTTGGGGCTCGGATCCCCCAATTTAATGGATGCTGGTTCCGAGCGCCGGGCAAGTCACCGCCTACCATTTCCAGGCATTCAGCCCTGCAGAATTAAGACTATTTACTGTGATAGGCAGGCGGACGACGACTCGAGAGCTTGGCTAAGGCCGCTCGGACCACCTCAAAAGAGAGCAATATTCGGCATATCAATTATGGATCATGAGATCATGGATCATGGATCTTTGTCTACTCTCCGGCATTCCTTTTTTGTTACATAGTAGTATATTAGTCTTTATACCTATTTCTCTCTAGCCTACTTCGACCACTTGCCCATGGCTTTACCTTACCTAGGAACTTCAAATAAGCAATAAGATAATTCTCTTGCCCGAAAACTTCCAGTATTGACCAGCTTGGGTTTTTTTTCGAGACGCCACGAGCTGGCCGTTCAAGCTTACCGCAGCGAGCAAAGCTCAAATACCCCTACTCTTCCAATGGTCAACAACCAAATCCCGAGACCGGATGCCCTTCATTGGCAAGCGGGCATATGATCGCCATGAGGCCAAGAAGATCGCGCCCACCAGGTCAGGTGGGTGATTGGAGGCGAGTCTGGGTTTTCCGGCAGGGACCGAATGGGCTCAAAGCACCGGTCCAAAATCCCAAAAAAAATTCCGGTCCTCCATCATCGACTTGGTAAGTAAGTCCGATGGTAGACTTTTGCCATGGTACCTACCCCATACAGTGTAAGACAGCCGTGAGCCGTGAGCCGTGAGCCGGTAGTACTCCGTAAATGGTTGAAACTGAAGTAGTCCAAGGCACGGTTGAATAAGTTTAATAAAAAGAGACTCGAGGCCCTGAGGCCGACAACCCGAACATTAGCCGCTGGATCCCGCCCCATTTTATGCTAAGTGACGCAAGCAATTTTCAAGCCTGTCGCTTGTTTGTGCTATGATCTAAAGACGAAGTCGCGGACCATCCAGCCACTTCGCCACATGGCATATGACGTTCACTGGAGTCCAGGTTGTCGCCGCACAAGGCCGGAATATCAAAGTACCAAGGGGGTTGCGAGTAAGTACAGCTTGTCACTCGCATGCAACGCATCCATAGGCCCTTGCTAGGCCACATCAGGCAAGGGTGCCAGACACCATCAACCGCTGGACCCCTTTCCCTGTCATATACCACTAATCACCGACCTGATACAACGTTTATATTGAGTCTGGCCCATCTGCCTTGAGGATGAGTATACCTGATGGGTTTCCGAATGGAACAATCTAAATCCAAGGCCGCCACTAGTCCATTCGGATAACTTTTCCACCTGTGATATTGAGTCTTGAGGTGATGAGGCGCGAATGGCATGGATTTGCTCCATGCCCGGGTGGCTCTTCTTTGATTGCCTGCGGATCCATTCTCCCACGTCCCCTTACCTGCTCTTTCTTTCCCCCGACCTGTAAAGTTGCAGATTTATGATATTTTTCTCGCGTAGAGTTGCGATCCTTGCACTAGTCAGCGCGTGCTACTGGTGCATGTTTTTGTTACCCTTAGGTAGAGGTGCAGCCAGCACACATGCGGCATGGAGAGATAATATTGGGCAAGCAATGAAACTTCACCCAAGTTGGCTAACGGTCCGCGGTCGATCGATCAGGTAGTAGTAGGTTTACGGCGCCCATTCGCGGCGCAGCTGGTGTTCAATCATCAAATTGACGAAGAACGCTGATCGGTGATTCAATATGACATTTAATCCAACCCAGGCTGCCCCACGAAAGGGGTAGGTGTAGTTAGATCTGAGCAGACTCATTGAGGTTCGGGGAAAAGGCCGGGGGTCGAGAAGCCGGCGCGCTTGTCCGCGTCGTGAACGAACTTGTCTTGATACGTAGCCGATGTGGGAACCTGTGGCGGATCAAACTGGTACCGCGAATGCGAAGCTAATGCTCCAGCTCCAAGCTCAACTTCCAGTCGTTCCCACCACCTCTGTGATTGAACCACAGGTCTCTTCTGGCCCTCACTGAGAAATCCGTGGAGATGCTTGATTTCTTCCACTCAGGCTGTCTCGCGTTGCTAGTTACTGGCTCTGCCGCTCTTTCCCTTTCTCTCTCCCTCGCTTATTATTCGTCTCTCTGTCAGTTTCCCAGTCTTGCGCTATTGGAGCCAGCAGCCAACTCCTCGTAATCCAATCGTCGCCCAAAACTGCTTCCTGCTAAGGCGAGCTCCGTGCTTGTCATCTTTCTTGCTCTACTCCGCCTTCAGTCCTTCGCTCTGTGCCCGGGCATAATGTTGAAAGATCTTAGACGATCTGATCACGTGTAGGCTTTGTTCTTAGTCTGTCAAGCGATTCCAACTGCTGTTGGGTACATATTTCAATTCCTTCCCCTTCAACCGCGTCGGCGCCTGCTCACCCCGGTGGTTCCCCACATTCTTTAACAGCCATCGATCGTGAGAGCCTCTTATGTCGTGGTATTGAAAAACTATGGCCTTTGCTGATATGCCGGAAGCGGGGCGTCTGTTTGGCGACAACTGAATGATCAAGGCTACGCCTTGTTACCAGGCATACGACATGAACCTCGACCTGCTCGTCTGCTAAATTAGGTAAACAATCAAGACTGTGGCGAATTTCCTTGGGGAACCTTGATGAGACACATCCTTAGCAGCGTGTCCATGTGCCCAACTGCTTTGGCGCTGACCAAGCAAATTGTGAGCGACCTGATTCCAGCCCTAGGGATGAGATAGGCTGTCCGGGCTCTCAACCACCCCGCCTCCGTCGCCGGAAAGAGGCGTGCTGGCTCAGATGAATCATAATCACATGGGCAGAACTCTGCCTACCCTCGCTCCAGGGCCACGCGGCGCGTTTGCAGCCCCAGTGACAACAATAGCAAAGTCAAGGAAGAACTCCACTGCTTGCACGTCATGTAAGGCTGCGAAGAGGAAGGTAATCGTGAACGCTACCCTTCTCTCCAGACAAACACATTCTTGCTCATTGTGAGGGTGCTTCCACCTAGATTGTGCCGATCTTTGAGCTAACCATGCGGACTATAGTGTAGCGGACGCCCGGCCCCTTGCAAAGCATGTCAAACCTCCAAAGTTGCATGTGTTTTCGATGAATCTCTCGACCTTAGACGCAAAGTCGCCGTGAGACGCACTCAGGGGGAGCTTCAACACTATAAGGGCTTGTTGACCAGCCTGTTCAACAAGATTCGCGATGCAGACGAGGCTGATACCTATGAGATCCTGGAAGCCATTCGTTGCAATGAGTTCGAGGATATTGCCACGGCAGTCGAGGGCCTTGAGCTGCCCAGCACGGAGGAGACCAGCAGCGACTCAAGCTCAAGCTCGGAGGGCTCGGAGAGTGAGGAGGCGGAAGATGACAGTGAATTTCCGAAAGAGCTCTCGGACCCCGAGAAAACCATGCGCTTAACAATCGAGAGGCTCTGTGATACTCCTTTGTACCAGGTACCATCATCTTGGACCTATTGCGACGCTGATGACTTTGTCGTTTCGCACCTCGTATCCCTGTACTTCACTTGGGATCATCCATTTTCCCAGATCCTTGATCAGGATTCGTTCCTAATCGACATGGTAGCCGATCCACAGGCTACACCACAGTTCGAAGCGTTCCAGGTGTCTGAAGAGTTCGAGATACCTTCAGGAATCGAGATGTCTCCAGAGATCGAGCCGCCTTCAAAAATCGAGTATTTCGGGGAGGATGAGAGTTCACCAGATCCAGATCTCAATGAGAGATTCTCAAAGACAGAAAGCTCCCCGAACATTGGGAAATTGCGAGAGTTGCAGCGTTCTCCAGATATCGAAATCTCAGCAGAGGCCAAGACTGAAGATTCAGAAGATGATTTGAGGGCCAAACCGGGTTGTCAAGGAGCAATCGAATTGGAATATGGGCTTGAGGGCGACCCGCGCTTCTGCACACCACTTCTCGTGAGCAGCATTCTAGCAGTCGCAGCAGTAGGTAATTCTCGTCCTTCTCGTTCGGCAATGACTAACATTGGCCAGACGTATTCCGATTATCCAAAAATCTGTGCTATCCGAGGCATCGATTTTACACGTGGCCAAAATTTTTTTGAGGAAGCAGAAAGGCTATGGAAGGCAGAGCGGGGCCGGCCTACATTAGCCAATATTCAGGCAGTGACCTTGATGAGCCGTTTGTATGCTGCATATACTCGCGTTCGCTCCATATGTGCACAGACTGACGACGGAAAGTCTGCAATTTCAGGGCCAACGACAAGCCAGCTGGCTGATGCTAAAACAAGCTGTACAACTTGCCAAAGACATCGGACTGTTCCATTCCCCGAGGAGGCACTGGGGATCAGACATGCCGGTCAAGACCCGACATGTCTATGCAGTTGCCGCCTGGGGACTGTACATAATGAACTCGTAAGAATGTCAATTCCATTTTGCCTCAATTCGCTAAGGCGTGCAGGGAAATGTCATTTGAGCGCGGCAGGGCCCCAGATCTTGAGCCTCCGTGGTGTAACCCTGACACGGCGTATGCTTACGACAAAGGATTCATGTGGAGTGCATACCCGCGTTTCAAGGAGGATGATTTCCAAGATCTGCCAGCCCAACTCGGTGCAACTTTCAACCGCACGATCCTTCTAGCAAAGATCGCTGTGAAGATTCAGGAGTTCTTGTTTATCGAATCATGGGGCATGTCGAAATCTGAAATCGAAGCAACGGCAAATGACTTGATGAATCAATTGCAACTCGTGATAGAAGGCCTACCCGCCTCAGAGGCTGAGCAACGAGAGCTTCCACATGTCCTACTTGTGCAGTGAGAACCCCAGCAGTAATGTCACTCCCTACCCCTCTGACCGTTTATCAAGTATCAAATACCATCACACAGTATTGCTATTCTTCGAACATCTCTGGGATCACCAGCGTGTGGAAGCAACCCCCGAGCAGGTCCGTTCATACCGACTCGAGCCGGCGAAGAGGGTTGTCGAGTATCTCGGTGTGTTTGAAGCTAGATTCGGACTGCGTCGAGTACCAAGACAAATGTTGGAGCCTGCCAATCGCAGTCTTCTTGCTCTGCTAGTCTTCATTGAGGATGAGGAGTCGTGGGAGCCAATAATAGACCTATGCCGGTTCATGGCGGCGTGCAGCACAAGGTTTGTTCTGGCGGAGCAGATGTGTCTCCAGTTCGAACAGCTAATCAAAGCCTCTAACGCCGTTTTACCACAAGAAGCGTACGAGGTGCTAAAAGGTAGAGGTATTAATGCATCCGATTGGCTGTGAGCCAACGCTAGCAGGTACTGTCAACGAGATGGACAGACGCACAGATTCACCCACAAAACCAGTGAGACTGACCGATTATGTGGCATCAGACATTGTGACATCGGGCATTGTGAGATCAGTTCGTGTCAAGCAGGAAGAGTTTTACCAAAGACTCGTCAAGCATAAGCATGGTTGTGACGAAGTTTCCTGGATTATTGTCTTGTGTGCACTCGCAAGCGCCGCGATTCGCTTCGTGGTAGGTGGTAGGTGGTAGAAATTCTCTGGAGAACCAGAGTGACACGCCACCGCCACTATTGGTAATGGTCTCCCCGATTAAATTCGAGCTCGTTCATTGGAGTGGTGACAAGGTCTCTTGCAGTGTTTAAATGGGATGAAAGTAACCACGCTATTGCAGTCCTGCATCCAGAGCCTTGAGCGGTGTATGTCGAGGGCAAGAGGAAGATTGCGTTGATAAAGCGAGTACGGAGTAGAGCTCTGGAGAATGAGGAAGAAGGAAGCGAGGAAGAGTGTAGCAGCGTGAAGAAGTTTGAGACCACCAACCCAGGGCTGAGGCCTGACATCTAGGCCGAATGAAGCGTGAACAAATGACAGTCAAATAGGATAAGATTTCCGAAGAAGGGATGCCCAATGATGGGCTCTGGAGCGACAGTGGCACTAGCAACCTTGGTTGGCGGGAAGCGGAAGGGGCACATGGTAGGCTTGTCCTTCATTCCACAGACTCGGATCTCCGGGTTTTATACTTGGCTTGATCCGGAAGATTCTGTCCACTGGCCGAACCTCCTTCTTGCCCTGCAAGATATGTGTGTCTGTGCTTGTGTGCCTTTGTGTGTGCTTGTGTGCCTGTGTGTGTGCATGTGCATGTGCATGTGTGTGTGTGTGTGTGTGTGTGTGTGTGGGAGATCATGGGCGTGGAGCTCCGATGCGGCAGTTGACCCTCGCCCTTTTTTTTTCGTAAGAAAAAAGGGATAGAAACACGAGTCAGGTCGTGGCCGTACCTGCAGGGAGCACTATTTACTACTAGTCACAAGTCACAACTGACCTACATACCATATTCATTACATTATCTTATTCGACCTACCGAACCGGCTAGGCTCTGCTGGCAGTCGAATCCTTTACGCTATCACTTTTTCTTGACCAAACCAGGTCTAGAGCATCGTATTGTGCAAGGAATAGAGCTCCAAGGTCTGATTTTCAAAGAGAATCCTATCCGAGATCTATGATAATCGATGCGGATATCAGATCTTGACACCTTGTATCGGTCAGGGCTTACCCTTGAATCCCTGCCCTCTGAAGAATCGGACTGAGAGGAACTGCCTCTCCTATAAAGAACCGCGAGCCATTATAACTGTATTAACTTGCTCCCAACATTCCTGGACGAAAGCAAGGCACTCTGCCTTCGGCTCCCTGGGGAGGGTGAGCTACTGCGTAGCATACGGAGTAGTTAGGTTACCACCTCGCATCCAATCCAAGGTTCTTCAAGCGGCCGGTAGAAGTATCCGGCTGCCCTCTCACCCAATCGGAGGCGTGCTACTCATCTTGCGTGCCACTCACTCCATGCTCCTTCGTCCCTCCATGCCACACCTCATTCCCATTATATATCCATGACTCTGATGGTAATCCTTTCGCTTTTATATCTCGAATACTCAAGTGATTTCAGCCACGGATGGGGATTCCCAAGTTCTGTCATGTTGTGTTCTCGGAGAACTGAAAAGGGCGCCATAATGGTTCGGATGGGATCTTGCCTTTATCAAATAAGCTTCTCACACTTCAAAATTCTTACTACGCGTATTTATTTCTCTGGTGTCGCTCATCTATGTATGCTGGGCAAATTCTCTGGGAATGATCGAGCTCTATGTGGAAGACATGAGTCAGTATTGGGACCCCTGTGATTTTCCTGGATCACGGCAAGTAAGAGTGTACTGGTTCGAAACGAATACTACAAAGCGATTCTAGTATAGTCGTAAGAGCTATTGGGTGTTCCTGCTAACTCTAAAGATAAACAGGTCTTCAGGTTACTTGGTGTCGATAACCTCACTATATGTATTCACCAGTTCCGTGTTGAGCCAATAAGTGTGGAGGATCCTGGCCTGTCTAATGTGACCCGATTTTAGCTCAGGCGATCTTTGCATACTAGTCACCAAAGACAACATGGATCATTATCTGTGCCCGACGCAGTGGCTCTGTATTTTCAGAATGGATAGATAGTAGAAGGCACGGTAACCTATGGCAAGCGGCAAGTCTTTGGGGGTTTTTTTGATCTGTCGGCTGCATAAATGAGTCAGCAGGCCAGCTATGCACAGATAAGATAAGCACAAATCCGTCCAAGCGAAAACCCTCAAAATTCAACTCCGCCGAAACAATCCAAATCCCACACGCCGACGCCAAGTAGCTACGCCTGACGACGTGCCCCCTCTCCTGCCCTCTCTCCACCCATCTCCGCCCCCCGCTCACTCGGAAATCTTATCATCGTCAACAGTCGCTTTTCTGTTGCAAACATGTCCTACGAAGAGCGCGCCAACCAGCACCCCAACTTGGGCGACGAGTCCGATGTTGAGGAGGAGGCCCTTGTCAACGACTACCGCGAGCAGGTCAACTATGATGATGGCATGAGCGAGTTGGACCGGACCACATCTCTTGGAGCTGGCTCGCAGGCACAGGATCTCCAGGCACAGCTCGCCGCCGCCGCGACCCCGCTTGAATACCAGGCCACGCTGGAGACTAAATTTGCGAGCTACGATAACTACTGCAGCCTTTTCCACTACATCTTGAACTCGGACGGCCCGGTTGAGTTGGAGGTTCCTTCGGTATGTTCTTTCTCCCGCCCTGCTCAGAACGTCTCGCGCGTCGAGGTTTCGTTGAAAGTTGTTGTGTGGTCGACGTGAACATCGGCATTCTGGACTAAAATCACCTAACCTTCTGTTTATGCAGTACTACTGGGCTTGGGATGTTATCGACGAGTTTATCTACCAGTTCGAGTCCTTCTGTCGCTACCGCAACCGTGTCGCTCGCAGCGGCTCCAACGAGGAGGAGGCGCAACTCTTGCGTGAGAACCCGAACACGTGGGGCTGCTACTCCGTCCTTAACGTCCTTTACTCCCTCATCCAAAGGTCGCAAATCAACGAGCAATTGGCTGCCATCAAGCGTGGTGAGGACCCATTGGCCGTCGCAGGAGAATATGGCTCTCGTCCTTTGTACAAGATGTTGGGATACTTCTCCATCATCGGACTTCTGCGTGTCCACTGCTTGCTCGGTGATTTCAGCCTCGCCCTGAAGACTCTTGATGACATCGAGATGAACAAGAAGGCCATGTTCGCCCGTGTTATGGCTGCTCACTTCACGACCTACTACTACGTCGGTTTCTCTTACATGATGATGCGCCGCTATGCCGACGCCATCCGTATGTTCAGCCACATTCTGGTTTACGTCTCCCGCACCAAGAACTTCCAGAAGGGCGGCAACAGCTACGATGCCATCGCCAAGAAGAACGACCAGATGTACGCTCTGATCGCTATCTGTGTTGCCCTCCACCCCACTCGCTTGGATGACACCATTCACTCGGCTCTCCGTGAGAAGTACGGCGAGCAGCTCAACCGCCTGCAGCACGGTGGTCCCGACGCCCTGCCTCTGTTCGAGGAGCTCTTCCGCTCTGCCTGCCCCAAGTTCATCAGCCCCACTCCTCCTGACTTCGAGAACCCTGCCCTTAACGTTGACCCGGTCGATCACCACACTGCCATCTTCATGGATGAGGTCAAGAACACCCTGTACAACCCTACCATCCGTTCTTACCTCAAGCTTTACACGACCATGGATTTGAAAAAGCTGGCTGGCTTCCTGGAGGTGGAGCCTGAGAAGCTCCGCTCTTGGTTGCTGATCAACAAGCAGCGTAGCCGCCAGGTCCGCTGGGTTGAGGGTGGTTTGTTGGAAGGTGAACCGGCCATCGCCAACGATTTGGACTACGCTCTCGAGAAGGACCTCATTCACGTGAGTGAGACCAAGGCTGGACGCCGCCTTGTTGATTGGTACCTTCGCAACCTCGCTCGTGTCTACTAGATTGACAGCCCAATACGTCGATCACCGTCTTAGACGCAAGAGCTTGAGGCTTGAGATCTCGGAGATGCGATCACTCCGTCTCCATAGCCACAAGGGTCGATGGTTTTCACGTGGACAACACGGCACTCCCAGTGCCGATTGACCGGGCAACTCGACCCTATGGATGCACGAAATTGAGGTCAACAGTGACTTGGTGGCTTAAGCTCCCACCTCTATCCCCATCCCCCTCCCCCTTTTGCCTACTGATCCTCTCACCTTACCCCGTCACTCAAGTTATGATGCCTTTTATTTCTATTTTCATATTATCCCTCCATGTTGTTTTCTTTCAAATGTCCATGCTTTTTTCTTAGGGTTGGGGCCTTGAAACCGATCAGGTTACGGGTTGGAGTCGACACAAAAGAAATTCTCGAGGATTTGATTAATTCGCGGCGTATTCCATTATGCTTGTGCTTTGGTTTTTGCTTACTGTTTCGACGACATTGTCCGGTCTGGGCTGTGCATCATGCTTTTGTTTGTTGCTTGCTTGCACAGTACCCAAAAAGAATGCAGCTGGCAGAGCACAAGGCTGTAGTGATTCCATGATGAAATAGATGATGACGTTATTTAATCCTTTCCATTCCACCATAAAATTTGCAAGTATGAATACCTTTACGCGCCTGAAATCCCAACAGAAGCCAATCCCAACAGAAGCGGAGTGGGGATATACTATTTACAATCTATTCGGTTAAGCATAGCTATGTTGTGGTAGTTTGATGCACGCCAACTCCCAAGTATAATACATGGGGCAGAACAGAGCACGACTGCCCTCAGAAATGGGAGCAGGAAAGCCCGACAACCATGATCCGCAAGACCCTTAGCGAACCCCCCCCCCTACTCCAGAACGTCGAAACTCGTCCCGCAACCGCAATTACTTGAAGCTCTCGGGTTGTCGACGATCTTGAACTGACTTCCAATCAGCTCCATCGTGTAATCCACCGTACTTCCGTGAAGCAACTCCAACGAAGGTTCATCCATGACGACTTTGGCCTCGCCGGGTCCGGCAGGAGCGTCCTCCGCTTTGAAGACGGTATCTTCTTCGGGGTCGATCTTCGACGCTGCTTCGAGGGACATCATATACTGAAACCCATGACAGCCGCCGCTTGTCACGGTGATCCGGAGGTGGTCGTAGGGGTTTTCCTCCTTCGTGGCCGACGGGGAGGAGGTCGGGTCTGTGATCTCACGAAGCCGCTATAATACGAAGCCGTTAGTTCAATACCCCCGCGATTGAATGCAAATAGGTAGAAATCAAGGACGGAACAAAGGACTTGAAGCCACGCTACACAGCGACAGGCCCCAAGATATAACAGAAAAAAGAAAAAAGAAAAAGAAAAAGAAAAAAACATACAACAGCCGGGATTCGCTGGTGGTCACCCACCCAACTACTAACCGGCCGGCGTGTGGCTTGAGTACGGCTGAGCGGACGGGAAGCCCTATTTTCCACACCCTGTGGTCGTATGTACTAGACGAAGAGTGGTCATGGTACTTAATGCGATGGTACCATATGACCTCCCTCCTGCCACTGCCATAGCTTTGGGGTTGTGCATATAACCCGACTCCCGTCCGATGCATGAGTACCCAGCTTCCATCACAACCCAACATACTGAAATATCAAGATGTTGAAAGAGAGATAAAAACCTACTTCTGCGGCCCGCGGGGATATCTTGATTGTGAGTTCGTTTCCATCCTCGTCAACTCGGGGGTTTTGTAGGATCTTCGCGTTCGTCCGGATCGCTGACGAAGAGAAAGGGTAGCGCAGGCGGATTGCATTGTAGAAGAGCACGGAGTATCGCGTAGTAAGCTTTCGGGACGCGATGCCTCTCGTATCTTTGTTAAGAGGACGCAAGCTGGACCGGAGGGATGCCGTGTCGCAAAACGATGCGGCGAAGTTCACCGGAGGCGCGGCCGATGGCGAAAACGCGGAGATGGATGAGTGAGGACGCGATAGCCGGCGGACGACGGATGATAATACCGGACGAGACATGATGGTCTTCAACGATCTCCAAGATCAAGGAGCTAGTGGATTGGCGGCGTTATCGTGGTCACTGACGTCTCGGATTGTCGAGAGGCGTGACTGATTATATATCATCATCCCAAAGATACTGCCGTTAGTCAGAGTGAGCGGCGTGGCATCATTGGTTGATCGGCCGTCGGCAGACACCGGCAGAATAATCACCGTGCAGTTGCCCGCCTTCTGGCCGATAACCGATCGCGGGGAACTAAACCGAACCGCGCGCCGGGTGCCAATCGTGCTCTAAGAGCTAACCCTTGTCGAGATTTGACTATAGAACTCGGTCTGACTTCTCATACCCTTTATTCACCAAACCAAGTACTGATTAGTTCTGTCCAGCTTTGCAAGATAAAGGAGTGGTTTGCAGCATCAAGCACAATGCTTCCCGATCTGCGCGCAAAGCGCGCAAATGGTGCTCCCCCACTTTCTGACTTCACAAGAGAATATGCGCAATCGCTTGATGCGCAGGATCCTCTACGTCACTTCCGACAGGAATTTCTCATCCCCTCGAAAAATGATCTGAAGAAGAAGACCTTGGCTCTACCGAATGGATGTACGTCAAACGAGCATGTTTTCTGTTGCATGGACCATGGATTAACCAGAAGCATTGTTCGTTGATATAGATAACGAGGAGGCCGAGGAAAGATCCATCTATCTATGCGGGAACTCCCTTGGAGTCCAGCCCCGCAATGTTCGCAAGTATATTGACCACTATTTGCGAGCGTGGGCCATCAAGGGTGTGACGGGACATTTTGTATCGCATGATGACCAGCTGCTTCCACCCTTTGTCAACGTTGACGAGGCTGGGTCGAAGTTGATGGCGCCGATTGTTGGAGCTCACCCTGAAGAGGTTGCCGTGATGGGTACGCTGACAGCGAACCTGCACCTGCTGATGGCGAGCTTCTACAAGCCTACTAAGGAGCGATACAAGATCATCATCGAGGGCAAAGCATTTCCAAGTGATCATGTACGTGTCGGATCTTGGGCGGACCGGAAGAGCAGCCACTGACATACAAGGAGACAGTACGCCGTTGAGTCTCAGATCAAACACCACGATCTTCGCCCAGAAGACGCCATGGTTCTCATCGAGCCCCAAAACTCCAAATTCCCCACCTTGCCCACCGAGCAAATCCTTCGTGTCATTGATGAGCATGCCTCGAGTACAGCTGTAATTCTTCTCTCTGCCATCCAATTTTACACTGGGCAGTATTTCGACATCAAGAAGATCACCGCGTATGCCCAGTCGAAGGGCATTTTGGTTGGCTGGGATTGCGCCCATGCGGCCGGCAACGTGGACCTGCTATTGCATGACTGGAACGTGGACTTTGCTGCATGGTGTACCTACAAGTACCTCAACAGCGGTCCTGGCTGTATGGCGGCCCTTTTTGTCCACGAGAAGCACGGCAAAGTAGACAGGGATAAGATTGGCACTGCAGAGCAACCCTTCCGCCCGCGGTTGTCAGGTTGGTGGGGAGGAGACAAGCAGACGCGGTTCCTGATGGAAAACAGTATGGCATCCCAAGATATCTCAAGCCTCATGCTCTAACTTCACACTCTCCGCAGACTTCGTTCCTCAGACAGGTGCCGCAGGCTACCAGCTCTCGAACCCGTCGGTTCTGGATCTAAGTGCGCTTGCGGCCTCCCTCGAACTTTTCAACCGGACTTCGATGGCGCAGATCCGAAAGAAGTCCCTGCAGATAACGGCATACTTGGAACAACTCCTTCTGGAGTACCCGTCCGAGTCGCTTCCAGAGAGACCGTTCAATATAATCACACCCTCGAATCCAGCAGAGCGGGGTGCTCAACTCAGTCTGCGCTTGTCACCGGGTCTTCTCGACGGCGTTCTCGAAGTTCTGGAAAAGCACGGTGTTGTGATAGATGAACGGAAGCCAGACGTCATTCGAGTGGCGCCTGCGCCTATGTACAACTCGTACGTCGATGTGTGGGAGTTTTGTCAGGTCTTTCTGAAGGCCTGTCAGCAGGCTTTGGACGCCCGTAAGTGAACATACAACATGTATATCTGTGATTTGAAAAGAAAACCTTCCAACGACCAAATCCTTCCATCCTCTTATCCATGCAATCGACCGTGACCTATGAGATTCCTGGGTCAACGTCAACTTTTGGCAAGGCTTCTGGGACGAGGATAATTATTTAATCCAAATATACCATCAATAATATTGACAGATATAGATTGGAGCTTCACCGAAGGGTCTAGTCTTTCAGTATGTGTCCTTGGCTCCACATGTATGTATATCCTGTTCATATCAAATCATCCGAGAAAAGAGATCGCTTTCGCGATTCCTCTCATACATGGCAAGTATTTGAAGCAGTACGAAGAGGGCAGTTTTGAAGCCTGCTATGTAGGAATAGTTCTCCTGTGAATTACTTATTACGTATAGTAGCGGAAATGACCTACTAATAACCAAATAAGTTTGTCAGTTGTCTTTACTAAACAACGCCTAAGTCTGGCCTGTCCCAGCATCACTTGCTAAAAAGGTCCGTAATCAGCTCCTTTATCATTACATATATAAGCGGATCGTACCCAGATCAATCAGGCTGCAAGATTGACCAAGATTGACCAGCCCATACCTGCTTATAGTCTTGCAATGGTACTTGTCCTTGAAGCTCCGATTATTCTGGGAGTCGAGCGGCCCTACCTAGTAGTGTGGCCATCTGTACTGTACAAAAGTATGGTAACTGCTACACACGTGCACCTAGTACGAGCCTAATTAACGCAGGGTCCCGGTTCTTTTGCACGAAATACTTGTTTCGTATCAACCCTGGAGCCATTTTATACTTTCTGTGCGCCAACATTCTGTACCTAATATAGAACATACATCCTGGAGATTCATCCAAATGCGAAATAAGCCGGCTCCAACGATTGACGCTCTGACTCCCACGCTAACCAATCTGATCTCGTAGTCCTGTGTAAAGATAGAATGTTAGCCATCCGTCCAGCCCAGCAGCCGCGCGAGAAGAGAGCCCACTTACGGCAGGAGACCCATCGCGTTGACCTTCCAGATACCCAAGCAAAGTAAGACTAGCTGCATTACTACATAGATGGCCTTGACGCCCAGAAGCTTGCCCCGCGTGCCTTCGGTTTCGAACTTGGTGAAGACAGTGTTGGTATTGATGAGGCCTTGGATGGGGCCCTTGAAGAGCATGAAGACCATCATGATGCTGAAGATTTGGAGACTGTTGCCAGACATGTACATCATAATCGCGTTCATGGGGATTTGCTTGGAGGGAGCCAGGGCAATCTCCCAGGCCTTCTTCAACTTCAGGGTATCGGTCTCCTCGGGCTTGGTCGGCGCGGCGGCGGTCGATGACTGTTGCGCAAGCTGCGGACGCGATTATAAGGGTTAGTTCGGGGGCCGGTCGGGGGGGGGGGGGGGGGTAGAGAGCAGGGGGAGTAGGGAGTATTCATGACAGAACATACATGTTTACCGCCCATCTTCTTCGAATAGCCTGGAGGATCGGGGATTTTGGCGGCCTCTTTGCTTGGGCGCGGCATCGGGGTGTTTAGCCTGACCACCCATTCTGGGGGTGGAGGCGGGTTGAGAGGTTGCGCAGCCATCCTCCAATTTTTGTTTGATGGACTCAAATATGAGATAACGAGGAGGGAGCTGAGCACAAGCAAGCGTAGCGTACTAGAGTGGTTGTTGATGGGCAACGGTGCGGAGAAGTCAAGCTGGAAGAATGTTGATTGATGATGATGACAACCCTCCTCCTCCATCCGGACTGGGAATTTCTCCACAAGCGGCGGGCGGAGTTGGCGGCTCCCGATCCACTCCTGATTCTCAATCCAACCCAGACCCTGATCGAGACTCGTTCCCCTTTTGACCTTGTTAATCTCGACCTTGGATTTCTCTCTTGATTGTCGGATCGAACTGGGGGAGACAGTGATATTTCCCATTGAACCTAGGTTGGACCCCAATCCGCTTCCGCGCTCATTCCTCCGTGCGACGCTGACTCCTTTAGCACCCACCTGCACACCCCTCTTCCTTCTCGAAAGGTCATGGAAGCTGCGGCCAGCTAAAGATCTCCTCCCCCTCGAAGCTAGCATACCGACACGAACCAACGTCGCTATACATGCACCTGCGATTTTGAAACATCATCACCTTCAAACCCTGCGCCAGCCCTGTTTTGAATAGTACCAAGCCACTGACCTCGCCCGATTCGTCACCTATAACCCTCCGACGCAATGAGTTCTAGCGGGGGAGATGCGAAGTTGTTCGCAAGGGTATGTACTTGCGCGTGCACTGCTCTTCCGTTTCGTCGGTCGCTTTGAGGCCTTGGCCTGGTGACTTCCTATTATCCTTCCGCATCTTCCCCCTCCTCAATCCTGTCGAATCACACTCGACGGTGGCTCTCTTCCATACGAACCGAGCACTGTCCTATTCCTTCCTCCTCACACCCTTGGGGCAACCTCTTTTCGGTCATCCATGAAATCCTATCCACCTCACACACTTGAGTCCTCGCTTGTTCTAGAGAAGACTCCCTGTGATCCCATGTTTCTCAGTGTGGTCCCCTATAGTCCGCAAGATGGCTTACCATTCTCTCAATCTAAACAGGGCAAAGTCGCCGAACTGCGCCAGGAGCTCAACAGCGGTGGGAAAAAGGATAAGAACCATTCGGCCAAGAAGATCGCCCTCAAGAAGATTGTCGCAAACATGACGATGAGCAACAATGACATGGTAGCCTTGTTCCCGGATGTGATCGGTTGCATGAACCTGCCCAGTTTGGAAATCAAAAAGATGTATGTCGAGAGGGCAAAAACCGATTGCGGATACAATTGTTCGGCGCTGACTTGTCTTTAATGATACAGGTGCTTCCTGTTTCTGGTCAACTACTCCAGGGCGAAGCCGGATATTGCGCTCAAGGCGTTGCCGATTCTGGTCGATGTATGGATGATGCCCCTCTTTCTTCCCCACCTGGATGCACTTCGATGGATTTCCTAACGAGCGCATAGGATATGGAAGATTCCAACCCACTCGTGCGTGCTCTGGCTTTACGAACGATCTCATATGTCCACGTTCGCGAGTTTGTTGAAGCCACAGTCGCACCGGTCAAGCGATTGATGCAGGATATGGATCCCTACGTCCGGAAAACGGCCGCCTTTTGCGTCGCAAAGCTCTACGAGCACGATAAGAAGATGGTTGAAAGCTCCGACCTGATCGACCGGTTGAACAGCATGCTCAAGGACGAGAACCCGACGGTGGTATCCAGCGTCCTTGCCTCCTTGGTAGATATTTGGGGACGGAGTGAATCGATCTCTCTCACCATTGACTACGCCAGTGCGTCGAAGCTGGTTTCGATCCTACCAGACTGCTCCGAGTACTTATTCCTGTACCTGATGAAACCAGTCCTTTGCTAATAAGACCCATAGGTGGGGGCAATCATACATTCTCGAGGCCTTGATGTCCTATGTTCCTCAAGATTCCGCTGAAGCGCTCTTGCTGGCGGAGCGTATTGCTCCTCGCCTGTCGCATTCCAACTCTGCCGTCGTTCTGACTTCGATCCGGGTCATCCTTTACCTCATGAACTATATCGTCGACGAGAGACATGTTACCTCGTTAGCGAAGAAGTTGTCACCGCCCTTAGTCACCCTTCTCTCCAAGCCCCCAGAAGTCCAGTATTTGGCTTTACGCAATGCCATCTTAATCCTACAGAAGAGGCCGGAAGTCCTACGGAACGATATCCGCGTCTTCTTCTGCAACTACAACGATCCAATCTATGTCAAAGTAACAAAGCTGGAATTAATATTTATGCTGACAACGAAAGAAAACATCTCTGTGGTGCTTGCGGAGCTCAGGGAGTAAGTTTGCCCTTTGATGTCCTGATGATCGCACAGCTAACAATGGTTAGGTATGCCACAGAGATCGATGTCCATTTCGTGCGCAAGGCAGTGCGCGCGATTGGCAAATTGGCGATCAAGATCGAGTCGGCCGCACGGCAGTGTATCGACACTCTCCTTGACCTGGTCAACGCAAAGATTCCCTACATCGTCCAGGAAGCGACCGTGGTCATCCGAAACATCTTCCGCAAATACCCCAACCAATACGAGAACATCATCAGTAACGTCATCCAGAACATCGACGAGCTCGATGAGCCAGAGGCCAAAGCCGCCATCATCTGGATAATCGGACAATACGCGGACCGCATCGAGAACTCCGACGGCCTTCTTCAGGACTACCTCGCCACCTTCCACGACGAAACCATCGAGGTTCAACTGGCCCTCCTGACCGCAACGGTGAAGTTCTTCATCCAACGCCCAACCAAGGGCCAGCAACTGGTCCCCCAAGTGCTGAAGTGGTGCACGGAGGAGACGGACGACCCCGACCTCCGCGACCGAGGGTACATGTACTGGCGGCTCCTCTCCACCGACCCCGCGGCCGCCAAACAAGTCGTCATGGGCGAGAAACCGCCGATCAGCGCGGAGAGCGAGAAACTCGACCCGAAGACTCTCGAGGAGCTGTGCTTGAATGTCGGCACGCTGGCCACGGTATACCTGAAGCCCGTCCAGCAGGTTTTCCGCAATGCGCGAACCAGACGATTGCAGTACAGCCCCGCCCTGCAGAAGCCGCAAGAGGAAGCCACCAGCGCCGCCAGCTGGCAGTTTCCCGCTGCGGCGGCACAGGTCGCGGCCAGTAGTCCCACGGCCGCGACGGCCGCCAACCCGACGGGCTTCCCGATGACCGGCGCGGCGGCGGGTGACATGAACGCCGCCGTCAGCGCCGCGGACAACTATTTCAACAGCGTCGGCAGCCAGCAGATGGCCGCGCTCGATCTGGGCGGTCGCAGCGACGGCGGTGCCGGGGGCGGTGGCGCGTCGCAGACCCAGTATGTGGTCAACCAGAACCAGCAGCAGGTCTATCAACCCCAGTTGGCTGGTGGTGCGGCGACGGGAGAGCTGTTGCTGCTGTAATATCCTCTACGTAGTTTTCCTGCTCATTCCCCTGCGTCCGTTCTTCATACTCTTCATTGGTTTTTTCCCTTCTTGCATTCATCCTTTGAGCGATGCCAGCTTTTTGATCGCAGGCAGGGACTTGTGATACCTCTTATTTAACATTTCTATCATATGTATCATTTTAAATACACACAAAATGTAAAGAAGTTGGGAACGGGGCTGGATTTGTTGATATAAGACGTAATACTGATGGAATTGCTGGCTCAAAGAGAAAAGCTTGATGCCTTGAAATTCATAGAATTGGGTAAGGAAGGAGAAATCTACACGAATTCGTGGTCTTTACATACTCGCAGTTCTATTTGAAATCATGTGACCTCGCTGAACCGAGGCGTTACACGCACAACGCCGACAGGATTCATGGTTTACAATTTTGATTGTACATCATACACACTTCCTACCCAATCTGCCTGCCTCTAGCAGAATTAAGGTGTATGGAAACTAGTTTGCAGAATTGTCATCACTGCGCCAACCATCGATTGCAATGCACCAAAGACGCCGGGGACATTGGAAAAAAACCATAGTAGTAGTAGTAGTAGAACGCTGCACCTAACAAGAATGCTCACTCATCATCATCCAAACGAGCAAGTCCACCACGACTACGTTTGAGGCGGTCATTCAAATTGTCTTCCTGGAGTTGGCGATGAAGACCCGACACAAAACGGCCTTTCTCAGAGCGATGCTTCTCGTCCTCCTCGAGTTGCTTCTGTTCCGCAGCGGTAACCTCTGCAATACGCTGACGACGGGTTTCCTCCATCTCGTCTGCGTTTGAAAGCATCTCTGCCAATTTGCGCTGACGTTCTTGCTCCAAATCCTTGGCTCTCTGCTCTGTGTTGTTGTTGTTTTTGCCATCCTGCAGGTTCCGGTCACGATTGTACGAGTCTCTCGGTCCTCTGTAGTCCCTTCTGTCAGAGAAGCGATCGGATCTCTCTCGTCGGTCTCGGTCACGGACGTCCTGACGAGCACCATCTCCCCGATCATCAGAACGGCGTCTGTCTGAGCGATGGCGATCAGGTCGGGGTGACGGCGATCGATCACGGGGCGCATCCCGACGGGAAGAGCGGTCGTAACGGTCCTCTCGGTCACGGTGATGCCTGCTGGAGTACTCTCTCTCGCTGCCGTCTCTGTCGCCGCGATCGCGGTCCGGGTCTCTCCTGTCGTAGTCGTGATCTCTGTCATCCCTGTCCTCCCTCCGATCCCGATCCTCTCGGCGATGATGATAACTCCGGTCGCCCCTCTCATCCCTCCGTCTTCTCTCCGAGCGATCCCCCGCAGCAGCTCTGGGTGACCTCTCCCTCTCCCTCTCCCTCTCCCGGTGCGACCTCCTATCCCCCTCATCGCTATACCTCCTACTCCTCCTACTACCCCGATGATCCCTGTCCCTGTCCCTGTCCCTACTCCCCTCCCGCCGATGCCTCCTCTCCCTTTCCCTATGCCCCGCCCCAGCACTCGCCCCCGCACCTCCCACCGCCTGGGACCCCCTCCTCACCCCCTCCTTAATCGCACTCTCCAAAGCCGCCTGCTCCCTCTTCCGAATCTCCAACAACGGATCCGCTAAAACCTTCGCCATCGTATCCCGGGGATTCGTCCCTGCACCCGCGCCCGCGGCACCACCGTCCCCCGCACCAGCGACCGCGACCCCGCCCACCCCGGCGGCCCCCTTCTTCAGCGCCTGACTCTCATCGTTCTTCAGCAGAATCTGATCGAACCGCCGCTTGCCCAACAGGTACCCTTCCATCTCCTCGGAGTAGTGGCCGGTGGCGCTCGACGGCTCCTGGTACATCCAGTCGACGCGCTGGATCTGGCGCGGGGCGCCCGAGTCCTCCTGCAGTCGCTGGAGTTCCTGGATCTGGCGCTCTTCGTCCCGCTCGCGCCGCAGCTGGTCGATGCGTTTGCGCTCCTCGAGGGCGCGTTTCTCTTCCGCCCAGACGCGCTCCTGGTTGCGGAGGAGGGAGGGGTGCCATGATCTATTTTTTTAGGGACTGGTTAGTTGAGTGGAGTGGAGGGGAGGGGAAGGGGGACGGGGTTTGGTGATAAGGGAAAGGAGGATCTGGAAGGGGAGGTGGGGAGAGAGGACATACTTCTTTAGGTTGAGATCACCACCCATCTTTGCGGTTGCGAATTAGATGAAGATGGGGATGGGAGTATGGTAGTAGTGGTGGGTTGTTTGTTGGCAGGTTGTTGCGAAGAGAAAAGATGAATGGAAGAAGGATGAAGCTCCGGCGCAGTGCGTGGGTTGTTCTTCCTAATCAGGAAGGATGGGTCCGGTCGGGGCCCGGGGGCGGTGGCCGGAGCGGACTGCAAGGTGCATGGAGGTTGGCGCCACTGCGGGTCGCTCTTTCTGCCCAACTTGTCGACGGACTATCTACGGAGTGCCTTTGGCCACTGCATGAATGGTGCAGCTGCTGTACTGTACAGAACATACATCGTACAGTCTAGTGACACACAAGGATCTAGACCAATACTAGGAGGAAAAAGATCTCCAAAGATTCAGCAGTTGTTGATGTAATGGAGTATGCCGACAGCAAAACTAAAAACAACAGTCATCGCAGTGCATTGGCAATTACACTGAACGACATTCAATGGATAGATAGGTACAACAAGAAAGGTAGGTAATATATGGAAGCAGATCATAGAAAAACACCACGCCTATGCTCACACAGACCTCCTGGCAAGCTTGTGCGCAGTACACATACCAGCGGAGCTCTCCGTTAGTCTTCAACGCGTTGCCTTATTTATCCCAGCCAACATAACTCCGAGGCATCACACGCCATACCTTACATTCTCCACTCCGCAAGTCATTCAGCTTGAAGCTCTCCATCTTGACTTTTTTGCTTTCTCTGCCCTGCTCCCAGGCGCGGATCTTCTTCTTCGTGCCGTCCCAGTCAACGACAATGCCTACGTGATCGGGCTTGCCAACCTCGGAGCTGTACTTTTGATGCATGGTGCCACGATGGCCCTGGAACCGTGCGTTGCGGAAAGTCACAACATCCCCTGCGCGGATCTCATCATTCTGCTGAACCGAAGCATTGGCCAGGTTAGAGTAGACAAGAGCACCGTAGGCGCGCGTGCCAACAGGAAGCAGGACATCAGACAGAGGACTGAGCAGATGCTGCACCAGGCCATGTGGGGTGCCATCCGCGACAGTAGTGTTTTGGATGCCATTAACTGCATTCGCAATGCGCGTGCCAATCTGGTTGTGGGCAGTTTCGAGTTGATCTTGACGCGGATGATGAGGAGGCGCCTCGTGGCGCTGTTCGAGGGCCGCATCACTGGGATTGCGAGCATCAAAGGTCACAGTGATCACAGTTTGGGAGTAGTCGATGAATAAGATATAAACATCCTTGGTCACAGTAGACTTACCGCCCCGCTTAGAGGAATTTGACTCCTCGAATTCGAGAAGAACATCCTTGCGATTTTGGAAAACAGGGGGAGGGGTATTGGGTTGCGTCCACCAAAGAGTGGTCTCTGCCAAGTCAACGTCCGTGGCAATAAAGCCTAAATCGATAGATGGACGGGAAACATCCATAGATCTCCGGACACTGGGCTGGGCTCTTGGGATGTCCAGCGATGCACGGTTGCTGCGAGGTGTAGGCGGAGGTAGACTAGGGGGCGGGGGAGCCATTGAGGCGCGCTTTTCGCGAGGCGACGAAATGGACGTCTCGCCATAAGGTTGAACAGGTGAAGCTTCATGGAGATCATCGGGCTCGTCTTCAGCAGACCGAGGAGGCATAGGTGGAGCTTCCACCGGGCCGCCGGGGATTGGTGGCGGTGGCGGTGCTCTCGAGACAGACACGCCATGCTGGGGGGCAGTATAACGGTAAGGATCATACTCATCATCGTCACCGCCATATGAAGGCTCTCTTTGTGGTGGAGGAGGTGGAGGTCCTCTAGGCGACTGTATAGAGTCTCTGCCGGAACTCTTTGGAGGCTGGATCGGCGGCGGAGGGGGCACTGCGCGTGGGGCAGACAGAGGAGGGGGAGGCGGGAGACGAGTCTGGGGTGGGCTTCCAGGAGATCGAAGCGAGTGTTCGTCGGTTATGACACCTTCGTCGAGGCTAGAGTCGCGGCCGTGTGACTTCAGAGCATCCTTGAACTTAGCACCAGATGCGATGTCCGTGTCGTAGTCGCCATCATATTCAGTTACTTCGCCTTCGGTACCCTCGCCCGCTTGGCGGGGCTGCGAAGTCATGCTTGTCCGACTGTCGGCTGTAGACCTTCGCCGAATATTGACTGGAGGAGGGGGAGGGATCGGTCTACTCTGAGATGGGACTGGGGGATTGACTGGTACCGGGGGAGGAGGACGACTCATTCTCTTGTCTGCAGGGAGTGTAGGTGACAAGGGAGATGTTGTATCGTAGGTCGATGCTCGGCGAGAGTCGAGATGGTCGGGGAGTGGAGGTGCTGGTTGCTCTGCTGCTGGAGTGGCCGGCGTAGCGTTCGGATGCAAGGACAATTCGTCGTCAGATTCGTCTCCTGGATCGGCAGGTGCAGCGACCTTGGGTGGGGGCAGAGATTGAGCTAGTTTCTCCAATTTAGTACAGATTGACACCTAGCACTAGGTTGAGCCAACTTACATCCTGGAATCGGCGGAGGGGACATAGGTTGTTCGTGAGGAGCTGGAGGTGGTACCGGACGCGTGTTGAGTGGGGGAGGGGGAGGAATCGCGCGCTCTGTGAATGGATTGTCAGCATATCCTCCTGGATATTAAATAGCACCATCCGTACCTTGCGGTGTAAATGGTCTATCGGCAGACATACGACGTTGAGGTTGTTCTTCATGGACAACTTCCTCTACATCAGGAACCTCGTGTGCAGCATGCTGTTCAGTTATCGGACTTGCAAGGGCCTCTTCCTGTTCTTCCTCCTGCACTTCCTCCTCTTTCTGGACATTAGGATAAACTGGAGGCTTCCCTGCATTCATTCCAGGCAAGGCCATGATAGGGACTGGAGGGGCTGCGGCGGGACGGGAGCTCTCATCATCAATGGCTCTCTCCGCTTCCACAGGCGCAGGCGCCTTAGGTTTGCGAGCCGCACCAGGGATAGGCATCCCACCAGGGGGTCCGAAGAAACCCATCATACCCATACCACCACTCATCTTTGCCATTCTCTCTCGGAGTTCCATCTTCCGCTTGACCTCAGGGTCAATTTCCTCCTCTTCGTCCTCGTCCTCGTCTGCCTGGACTGGTTCCTCGGCTTCTTCGTTTTCCCCATCTGACTGCGGTTCATCTGTACGTTCTGCCTTTGCATGCGCACCCTGAGCCTGTGCTTGACGTCGAGCCTCTGCACGGGCCCGCTCGTCGGAATCTTCCTTGCTTGTGGAAGTTTCTTCTGCATCTTCCGTGTCGGCAGCAGCAGAATCATCCGCATCATTGGTGTCACTGGCGAGCTCCTGCGCAGGTGGGGGTGGCATTGCATGCTGCGGCACAGCTGGTCCCACTACTTCATGAGCAGGTTCTCGTGCCGCATCGTTTGCTTCGGCTCCTTCGGCTGAAAGATCTTGTGTAGGAAGAGTGTCTTCGTGGGATTCGAGACGCTTCTTCGGAGGCCGCTTCGCCTTTTCCTTCTTTTGCGCAGCTTCGGCATGACGTTGAGCCTGTTCCATCTGTTGTTTCTGGAGAAGCGCGATACGCTCCTTGAGACTTGTTGGCTTGGGCTGATCCTCCGCGCCTTCTTCCGGACCATCACTTGACAGAGGACGAGCCTCAGACATAGGAGGCTCTCGCGTAGGAAGTTCTCTCGTGACTCGTTCTTGAACATCAGGATCTTCTTCTCTGCGATAAACCTTCTGCGGGGGAGGCTCTCTGGGCGGAGGTACATAGGCGTTCTTGCTAGGTGGCGGTGCAACAAACGGTTTCCGGATAAACGTGTTGGAGCTCTGAGAGAGGCCGCCTGGCTTGAAAGGCGCAACTGGCGGCGCAGCAGGCTTGTTGAATGCCGCAATACGATCCTTGAAGGATGACCCGGTAGGCTTCTCGGCGACAGCGGGAGGCGGGGGCTTGGTTACAGGTTTAGGGACGGGTTCACCAGCATCCCTCGTCGAAGGTTGGGGAATGGGAGCTGCTACCGGCTTAAACGGAGGAATCTCACTTGCCGGCGATGCCAGAGCTGGAGGGGGAGAGCTAGGTGGCTGAGGAACGGCCGCCGGTGTCTTTTCAACCTCGGGCTCGGGCTCGGGCTCAGATTCAAGCTCGGGCTCTGGTTCGGGCTCGGGCTGGTAGGAAGTCTCTGGAGCAGGGATTGCAGCTGCAGCAGCGGGCTCCGGGGGTGGCGGAACCGGCTCTGCTTCCTTTCTGGGTCTGCTGGGACGAGTCGGTCGCGGGGGTGCAGGGGGCTCATATCTTTCGACGAAATTCTTGGGGAAAATGCCCTCTACTTTGCGCCCGGAGTCATCCGCATACTCACCAAAGTACCACTCTGCATCTTCCTCAGCTGTGACGGTTATGATCTGTCCGATAGCGAAGTTGAGGTCGTCATCGTGGTCCGAAGAATACTCGAAGACCGCTCTGACCGTGAATGGCGGACTGGACATTTGGCAAGTTGGTGGTTCCCGTCACGGAGGTGAAATGGATGACTTAGGATCGGATGAATGGATTGATCGAAGTGACAGGCGGGATATCTGCAGGCAGAAGCACTAAATTATGTACGGCTTTATGCAGTAAAACATATGCGAGATGTGCTTCACTGCGAGGTGGTCTGCTTTGAGGACAAGGAAAATAACAATATGTCAGCCTGGTGGACTGACGTACGTCAGAGCATGGCGGATGGAGGGGGTGGGATCGGACACGCTTGCTCACACACCGCCAGAAGGACAGCTGGTGGGATCCAGGCTAGTGAGAAACTTACTGCAGTCAGGAGGACAGACTGTCCACGAGATGATAAATTATTCACAAAAGGGAAGGTAGGAGAGAGGGACTATAGGGGGAGGAATTGAGAATCAGAGGCGGAAGGTAGGGAATGATGAGCGGGGGGGAGAGGGAGTGGAAGAGGGAGGAATGAACAGCGAGGATGTAAGGAAATGTAAGGCAAGTACAGTCAGTCACGACAAGTAGACTAAAGTGTAGTTACAAAGTCGTTAGACTCGTTACAGACAGACCCTCCTTAGTCCTCTTTCACTTCTCTAAGTTCTCTCACTCTCACTCTTACTCTCTTGCTCGCCCGCTCTCACAAGCAGCTCCACCACGGGGGCGATCGGCGGCTAATAAGATTGAGCAGAGGCTGAACCGGTCATCCACCGATTCCATTGCCAATCCAATTAATTAAACAACACATTTCACAAGTTGGGAACCTCACAAGCAGACGGGCACCTAAATTGGGTGACTACCAGGTGCACATGTTGTCATTCTTTTTCCTGATCTCCTGATTACAGTCGCAATAGGTGATTCTGTAGCAGTTAGCAGGTCATAAGTATGAGTACGGAGCACTAACAAACCTCATCGTCATCCATGTGGGTGTTGTTACCAGAGTGCGCTTAGCTTCCCTTTCAATCCGGGGTTTTTGCCTCCTGCCGACCCGACCAAAATTGAACGATGTTCATCTCTCACTCCGACCCTCTTCAAGCTGCCGATGCGTCTTGCCTTCCTTTCCATCTGACTTACACCTCATATCCAGTCTCACTTCTGTTTTATTCCTTCCCGTTTTTTCTTTCTCTGGTTATATATATAATCTCCTCGTAATTATGTCCTCGGGTCGACAAGTACTCAAAACCTCACTTCCATCCGCTCACGCAGCTTCCGCTTCGTTAACCCGCTCAACCCCTGCTACCGCGCGTCAATCGCCACCCAAAGCGGGCATGTCACGACAAGAGCAAGGACCATTATCAGCCAGACCCGGCACTGATCCCCGTCACATGGCGATTGCGCTGCACCATGCGCGCCAGATCCAAGCTCAAAAGGACGCAGAGGCTCTCATTCTCGATCGCATTCTCGACCTCGTTCAGTTCCCCACCTCACCGTCCGCCGATCCTAGCTCCCCGTCCCCCGAAGATGCTCGGGCCTTCAAGTCTGCATTGACACCCTTCCAACCCGCCGATTACGACAATCTGATCCTGGAAAGAAACATCGAAGGGCTATGCGGGTATACTCTTTGTCCCCATGAGCATCGCAAGGAGGACTCCGGAGGCGCCTTTCGCATCAAGTGGGGCGCGAAGGGCAGCGGCCCAGGCGGGCGCGGGCGCGAGATGAACATCGTCCCGAAGGAAAAGCTGGAGATGTGGTGCTCCGATGCGTGTGCGGAAAGGGCGATGTTCATCCGAGTGCAGCTCGCCGAGCAACCGGTGTGGGAACGAAGAGCGGACGATGCCCACGGCGCCCATATTCTACTGCTCGAAGAGGAACGGGCCAGAACACAGCAGCAAGGGAAGGGCAAGATGCGGAGCGCGGCCAGCGTCAACGAGGTCACCGGTCAGCTAGGTAACTTGCATGTGCACGAGGGACCAAGCTCCAGCGACGTGTTCGATCATATGGCCAAGCTGTCGGTTCGTGATGACGCACGTTCGCAGGAGCTGGCCCTGGAGCGTGGCGATGCTCACCCAGCACTGTACACGGGTCGCGTGGACGTGAATGTGCAGGAGAACAGTCGCGCTGCTGGCCCGGTGACGGCACCGCAGATGCGCCCGGGAGACGAGAAAGGAGGCTCTATCGAAGGATATGTGCCTCGCGATCATTGACTCGGCGAGGGCAAAAATGGCAGTAATGATTGAATGGAGCCATTGGCATTACAGGGGCGTTGTATTCCAGGAATGATACCCAGATAAAATAGCAATCTACAAGATCCAAGACGATATAGCACCTCTGAAGATCGGCAAGAAGCATCGATCATAGAGGGTCACAAGATGTGGCTGTCTGATAGGCGATGAAATGTGGAATTCCTACGCAGCAACCGGCCGTAGAGACCAGCTGGTGAACGGGAAGTGAATTGGCAATCAAGCGTCATCTCCGTCAGGAGAATCGGCGACACCTTGTTTGACGAAAGTCATGTTCATTCCTCATGAGTCTGTTTCTAGACTACAATGGTAGCTGGAGGCCTGCCAGAACAAGCATGAAAACGCCAGGGATCGACCTAAGACAATCGTAAAACTTTTTCATTTTCCGCTTGAGGGCGCACAGATTTACCGGTAGCGACGGGGGCGCTCCTGGACCTGCTGCTGGGTGACGTTGACGACGTTGACCTTGAGGTTGTCGAACTAGAAACGCGAGACATGTTAGCTTCCTTCTCGACTTCCCTCTTCTCAGAATATTGGGAGAGTACTTACACCCAGGCTCTTGAGGAGATCCTTGGTGTCGGCATCGACATCGAGCTGGCCGGACTCGGTCTGGGAGACATCCAGAGCAGAGACCTCAGGAACGTACTGATCCTTGCGCTCACGCTCCTCCTCCTGAAGCTTGAAGGAGATACCGCGGACAGGGCCACGCTGGATACGCTTCATAAGGTGGGTGGTGTAACCAGCAATCTAATTTGAATCAAAAATCAGTGATCCACTCTTGATTTCTAGCGTTTTTCGGCGCGGCGCGCAGAATTCTACTAACCTTGTTGCGGAGACGCTTGGAGGCAATGATAGCGATCTCATCGCAAATGCGCTTGTTGGTCTCGAAGTCGAGCGTCAACTTGGGGTAGTAACGCTCGATGATGACCTTAGCGGAACGCTTGACTGTCTATACGGCGAAATCATCAGAATCGTGGCGGCAAAGACGCGATTTCCGTGGTGTCTCTGCTCACCTTGGTACGGACGCGACCCATTTTGGCGGTTTGTTGCTGGCTGGATGGATGTTCGAAACTCCGACTACGATTCCTTATGTCTCCCGCTCCTCAAAGACACCCGTCCTCGCTTAGCCGTGTGCGAATCACGTGCTGGAAATCGCCCTGATAGTCAGCCCTAACTATTTGCACGTGATTACCACTTTCAACCAATGCCTAACCAGAATTTATGGCTGACTAACTAGTTAAGTGTTGACTCCGTCACTACTACCTGATTAACTGTACGTAAGAAACTACCTAGTACCTACTTGTATATCATGAGCACCGATTTATACTTAACCTTCTCATTGGTAGTTAAAGCAGCGATTACGGGCAAATTGGGGACCAGGCGGGCGTTCTAGAGCTTGAGAATGGTTTGACAACAGGTGAATCTGCTACCATGTAATATGTATGGACCGCAATGTGCTTATACAACAGCAAAAGAGAAAAAAAAACAGGAGTAGCTCTACATTGACCAAAAAACAAAACCACTTAATCGTACAGACCGTACAGCTTCCTCAGTAGCTGCAGAAATAAGCTGCACCATCGAGATAAAAAGAACTAAGATCACGAAATCGGATACGTCTCGCTCATACTTAGGTAAAGCTCTTCATGAGATCCCGTGCGAGAGCCTCCGGATTATCCGCTGGTGAGCCCAAGTCTCCCGACGCCGCAAATGTGCCAGTCACAGGGCGAGCTCTATCCAACCTTGGCACCTGCCGCTGGCCACTTTGGGAGATGACACGGGACACATGGATTGGTCTCGGCTTCTGGTACTCTGTGATGCCGTAAGGTGCTCTAGACGTAACAGTAGCGCGATAACTAGCCAAATCGATGCGACCGTGTGAATTGACGGAAGCCCGAACAGGGTTGACCCAGTACTTGGCACCACCAGGGATGGAGGCGTCAAATTGATCAATGCCAGCTGGCCCGTCATGCTCATTAAACGCCATGGCGTTGAGATCTTCCACAACGATACCAGCAACACCGCCAACCGCTTTTCCTCCCTTGTTCTTGAACTTGCCCTTGGGGCGCAAGACACGTGCCTCGACAGGACGTTGATAAGTCTGAGGTCCGAATTTGGGATGGTTGTAAAGCAAGGCGTGAGACCTGGTGTAGGACAGTCCTGCGGAGGGATGCGTCTTCGGAGGTCCGGACGCAACATACTCAGGAGAAGACAGTTTGGGGGCAGGGGGGTGGAAATACGTCTGTCCAATCATGTCGGAAGGTATCATAGGAGGTGGTGGGAGATCCAGGATCTGAAAGATCACTGCACCTAAAGAGAATGGATCCGTACGCAGCGACTTGACATAGGCCTGAAACTCTTCCTCCACAAATTCGAAGGGTGTATCGATTTCCTCAAAAATCCCGCTGTCTTGTGCCTGCTTTCTTCGCTCGGTGGTTCGCTTTGCGATGAAATACTCGCGTAACTTCTCCATGATCTTCGGCTTGTTCCTGCGCACAGTTTTCAAGTAGGCCTGGAACTCCGCCTCTGTCTGACTGGCGAGGTATGGTCCAGAATGCCGGAACTTTTTGGCCGCCGGGTCGTCGAGGCCCGCGCTTGTTTCGGTGTTGTCCAAACGGGTTTCGAAAGGACTCGAGTGCCGAGGAGCTTGGCTGGTGGAGTAGCTGACTTTCTCAGGGAGGGACATTGGCAAATGGAGTTCTTGAAACTTCTCCAAGGTCACCGTATGATCCGCCGCTGATTCGAAATCCGTAGTATGTTCAAAGGTGTCGAGGGCATTGAGTCGAACCACAGGCCGTGAGGATCTAGCAGACGTTGTCTTTGCCGGCAAGGGTCTCTTCAAACCCCAGTCACCCTTCAGAAGAGAAGATGCTGGTGTGACAATGGCCGCTCGGATAGGGTGAGGAAGGGTTGCGGAATCGGATTCAGTGACCGTTCTCGAAGTTGGTTGTTCTTGAGGCGGAGTCAGAGCCTGCGGAAGTGCAAACAGGCGAGAATTCCGCAGCAAGTTTGCTGTCGGGGATAGCCTGACTCGCACCATGGCGCCGGACTCGAAGTTGAGACGTTGTGCGGGTGGTCTGCGGGTGGTCACTGTCCTGAGGAAGCTGGAGAAAAGTTGATTAATCCTCTACAACCGCGCCAAGCCGTGGGTTACGGCAGCCCACAACAACACATCATGCACCTGATCACCACTCACTTAGCGCAGGGTTGTAAAGTCTATTGACTGTGATACCAAGCCACAAAATGAAAAACCCTTTGGTTCATATGAGCCAGGCGAACACGATAGTGTGGTTACACTTATGGCACCAGGGCTTTTTTGAATATTTCATTAGATTACTATGTTGGCGGTGGTCTGAATATCGCTATAGAAAACACTGTACCTAGACCGACATCACATCTGATATCTGATTTGCAAAGATTGTATGTGGTAGAAAGTCAACAGCAGCTGTCGGTCTCTCTATGAAGCTGGTGCTTAGAGATTAGGGACAAGTATTTCCGAATCTGCGAGGTGCTTCAGCTTGTGGAATGTTCGCTACACCGAAGGTGTAAAAACCATTTTAAGGAACCATTGTTGACTGGGCAATGTTGAGTTATCATGAACATTCAGCTATCTTCAAAGATTCAGGCCTCTCAGAAGATCTACATCTCAGACATCTGCACATACTATCTGATGCAATCCGAAGGGTCTCGGCGTCTGTAAGCTAGGGCAGGACAATGAGTTGCATTTTCTTGACGCAAACAGTGGAGGGCTGCTATAGAGCCAAGTGAGCTATATCAGAGGTATAGTATAGCAGTTTCTTCACGCAGAAAGTTATGAGACTGTCACAATCACAGTTTCTGCATTTGAAGTAGGCTTCAGTCATGATTTCCAATGCAGAGCACTTCAGATTCTTTTTTGAAGTGGAGTACTCAGGTTATAAGGTCTTCAATATGTAGTTAACACTGACTTGCTCTTTCAAATGGATGGTACGCAGCGCATCATCATATATGATTAGGCAGAAACGCTGAGAATTGACTTGACAGTATCAACAACTGTTTCCCTCAGTTGCCGATACTGAATACCTAGAATCTCAATCGACTTCTTGTTGTCGTAGCCATACACATCATCAGGCAAGTCGCTAGGCGCATTCGTTGAGGGTAGCTTGTCTGCGATCTCAGGAAACGACTCTCGTACCACTTCCACAAGCTCTTTGTTGGTAAAGTAGCCAGAAGTGGTGAAAAACCTTTGCCCACCGGCTTTAGGAACCTCGATAGCCCTAACATGGGCTAATGCGACGTCATGGACATCGACCCACAAGAACGTACCCGTAGGAGGAAGGCCATCTTTGAATTTTCCTTGGACCAGGTTTGCAAGTCTTTGGTTAGAAGTATTGATGGCGTCCAGAGAATTCAGGTAGGGAACAACAGGACCGAAAACCAGAGGCGGGTTGATGGTTGCAATGTCGAAGTTTGGCTTTTCCTTCTCGACGAATTCCCAAGCGGCCTTTTCAGCAAATGTCTTTACGCGAAACGGTCAGTAAGACGGCTGCCGTGGATCAGGATTTTACATGACAGACGGGTGCATCTCACCTTGCTTGCTCTGTATGTTTGAGCAGGATCCATAGCCTCCTCCCACGTTACAGGGTTCCAATTCTCCTCACTGTACACTTTCGCATGTGCTTTAGGATTGACGATTGCGGCGAAGGATGATGTAACCACCACCCGCTTAATAGATGGAGCATGGGCTTTGATTGCTTTCAATATGCCAGTAGTACCCTTTACGGCTGGCTCCAAGAAATCCTTCACAGGGTCTGAGATGTTAAAGTGAAATGGCGATGCAGTGTGTAGAACATAATCGAATGGCGGATCGGATTTGACAGCCTAAATTTAAGAATGCTTTAGCCGTGGTACAAGTAGAGAAACAAAATCGGCCATACTTCGTCAAATGCACCATCTGCCGCAACATCCTGAACAATAGTGTAGGAGAGCTTCTCCTTTGGTGTGTTTGGATGCGCATTGAGGATTTTCTGGCCTTTTTCATCAGACCGCACCGTAACAACTGTATCAAATCTGCAGTTTCGGGGCTTCGGTCAGCATTGAGAATTCTGAGTAGGCCCCAGCCCAGATTATATCCTTTGCACTCACCCACGCTCTAAGAGATTGTCGACGATGTGAGCAGCAATGAAGCCACTACCTCCTGAGACAGATTGTCAGTCTTCTCCACGGCAAGCACTATCAGCCGGGTCTTTCTTACCAGTAAGAAGGACTTTAGGCATATCGAGTATAGTGGCACTAGTCTTGGTTGTTGAAAATTGAGAATGAGTAGAGTCTGGAGGTAGTTTTCGATTTATTTGGGATATTTCGAGTGGTAGTTTCCTCGCCCTTTTAATACCTGGGGATGCACTTTTACCCCTCAAATGACGAACTATACGCCCCCCACCTACGATCCACTGTTGGTCATATCATACGAACTCAATAGGCGCCCACTCTGATTACAAATACTGGTAAGAGATCGCGAGTAGAGGAGATAGGGGATGGCCATCTAGCTCTGCGACATTACTGGGGTTCAAATTGTGGCTGGCGGCTGTTATCCACTGAGTCTGCTCCCAAGCGCCTGTAGGCGGATTTAGAGGAGGCAGATTTGCTGACATTGCGTTATCGGATAAGCACCCTAGACCGGATTTACGATAACAGCGTTTCTTAGTTCCTGTTCGTGGTCACTACTACACCTGGGAAGATAGATCAGGCAAGTGACCCCGTCTACCTATGGCAACACGGAGCAAAAACAGGACTTCTGCTGATGATATTGCCACTGAACCCTCATCTCAGAACTCAGTCATAGAATTATTTGGTCATACATCTTTTCAACTACAGATGTAGCCTCCGCCCTCCGTAAGCTTCATCTAGAGTACTCTGTCCCGTATGCTGAAAGAACAACTATGGTATGTTATACTTCTGAAAAGGGCCCAGTTGCCCGCCTCAAAAAAGACTACATGGATGATGCTTGAGTCTCACTACAACCATGACCACATCAACAAGAATTCTATTATGATCGAACTGATGTTTCAGTGGCATGCACAAGTGCATATTTCATCCCCGTAGCCCAGCGCGTCACAATGCTTGTTTTGCCACTAGAAGCAGCCGATTAACCGAACAATTGAGACCTGTAAGAATCACATAGTCGAAGGCTTATCCAATTGCGAGGGTGGAGGTTGGGCATGGTTCATGATAGGGGTCGCCATGATCACAATGAAATATATAAGGCCTGGAACAAGCTTGGCCAGTGACATGGCCGTTGAAACTTAAGTCCTAATGATAAATGAAATGTATGAAGAGCAGGGGTGAATTCAATTTTTTCACAAAAATTACAGTATCCCACTTCAGCGGGCGAGTCAACCAGGCAGGGTATACTTTCATGCCTCAGGCTATCAATGGTCCGTGCACGGGTTTCCGGAGGCCGTCGACCTCACCTCCCGCATCGCTCAAGGCCGCCCATATCGGCTCTCCACCCCATGTCCAACTCGTGCCATCGTGCATGCCCTAGAGGTTGACTTCAAATGTCCACCCTGGGGTGTGGTACGCAATATGGCGCAAGCAGGTCCTATCACGGACGTCACTCAACGACTCTTCATCGAGTTGAAGTCTAAGAACGAGGAAACGCGGGTGCGAGCTGCTTATGAGCTTTACGACAACGTCGTTGCCATCTCACGAGGTAACACTTTCGGCATCGGTCGCACAAGAAATAAGGCTAATACTTCGCTCTTTGGTAATAGACTGGCCTCCAGAGAAGTTTCTCGAGTTCTTTAACGCAGTTAGCCAACGCATCGCACAGCTCGTGGTTACCGGCAATGACGCACACGACAAGATTGGTGGACTATTAGCTCTCGATCGCCTAATAGATTTCGATGGTGTGGACGCAGCTCAGAAGACAACGCGGTTTGCAAGCTATCTCCGGAATGCCCTACGAAGCAATGATACTGCGGTCTTGGTGTACGCAGCCCGGGCACTTGGCCGTCTGGCCAAGCCCGGTGGAGCTCTTACGGCAGAATTGGTCGAGAGTGAAATACAATCTGCTCTAGAGGCTCTTCAGTCTGAGCGGCAGGAAAGCAGGCGTTTCGCTGCGGTACTTGTTATCCGGGAGCTTGCTAAAGGCTCACCGACACTGCTCTATGGCTTTGTCTCCCAGATATTCGAGCTCATTTGGGTCGCTCTTCGCGATCCCAAAGTGCTTATCCGAGAAACTGCTGCCGAGGCCGTCAGCGAATGCTTCGAAATCATTGCTGCCAGAGATATGCAAGTTCGCCAACTATGGTTCGCACGAATCTACGAAGAGGCGCTGCTGGGTCTCAAATCCAGCAACATGGATTGGATCCATGGATCGCTTTTGGTGCTAAAAGAGTTGCTTCTGAAAGGAGCCATGTTCATGAATGAACATTACCGGAATGCATGCGAAATTGTCCTTCGTCTCAAGGATCACCGTGATCCCAAGATACGCACCCAAGTGGTTTTGACCATTCCGATCCTCGCCTCTTATGCTCCACTCGACTTCACAGAAACCTATCTACATAGATTCATGATCTACCTTCAAGCGCAACTCAAAAGAGATAAGGAAAGGAACTCTGCATTTATTGCAATTGGAAAGATTGCCAATGCGGTCGGTGTTGCTATCGCACAATACCTCGATGGTATCATTGTTTACATCCGAGAAGGCCTTGCTATGAAAGCGTAAGATGCATTTCCGCCCCTGCGCAATATCCTAAACACCAGAAAAGCTAACCCACCTAAGCCGCAATCGAGCTGCCGTAAATGAAGCGCCGATGTTCGAATGTATCAGCATGTTGTCGCTGGCCGTGGGACAGGCACTCAGCAAATACATGGAAGCACTGCTCGACCCTATCTTTGCATGCGGGTTGAGCGAGTCCCTTACCCAAGCTCTGGTCGATATGGCCCACTACATCCCTCCCATAAAGCCGATAATTCAAGAGAAACTCTTGGATATGCTGAGCCTGATTCTCTATGGTACCCCTTTCCGGCCGTTAGGTTGTCCTGAGAGCAGATTGCCACCCATGCCTTCCTTTGCCCGGGATTTCGG